AATTTTAAAATTTTGTTAATCTCACACATTGGTCAAAAGTCGAGTATTTAATATTTTATAACTCTTAAAATAATATTCATTTACAATTTTCCTATTGTAAAATTTTATTGATACGTCTTTTTTTGTGTTCTGCAATGTTCATGTATGTTCTATTTCTAATTTTAATGACTTATTTTTTTTGAATTGTACGATTTGTATTGTATATTTTTAATTATTTGTATATTTTTTGTGCTTTTGTTTGTTTTGTAAATGCTTTGTCGATGAAACTATCTTGGCTTTTTGCACAATAAAGCGTTATTTATTTATTTATCTATAACATAGTTTTTATGCTGTTTCATCGAGAATTAAAATTTCTGAAGCCGGACCAGCGTATTTTCGCAACGCCAAATCAACGCCAATAAATCAGAACGGTTGTCCGTAATGGCGGCCGTCAATCGGAAAACTATTTATTTAGAAAATGGGCTGTCCCGCGACGAATATTTTCCGGAATATGGTAAATGCGCGGAGAACAGGCGATATAAAGCGGAAATGACGGGAAAAAAGCGGACTGGAAAACCCGTTAAAGGTCGCTTAATACGATTCGAATTGTCGCAGAAATGGATTTAAATGCGTCGTGCTATAAACGAGGTCTTTTAATATTTTTAGAAAATAAAAATGTGAATATGTTAGTATGATAATGTTAAGCAAGGAAAAAATAACTGTAGTTTTCAATAAATATTGCGGAAACTACGCGTTAAGATTCTTTACCTTTTCAATTTGCTTAAGAAAGGGTTCAAACATTTGCAGACTATTCAAGGTACTACAGGACACCAACATTAATTACACCTTAATTAGAGCTCTGAAAAACTTATCTGAAAAATTCTTTAGCAATAAAGGTCTACGACAAGGATGGTGTGTTTCTCCCGCATTATTGAAAATATATGTAGCAAAGATCTTGAGACAATGGAAGAGAAAATGTAATGGAATGGGCATTAATCTGGGAGATACCTGTCTATATACCCTGCAGTTCGCAGATGATCAAGTTCTTATGGCCAACGATAAATATGATTTAGAGTACATGACAAAAAAACTACAAGAGGAATATCAACGATGGGGTTTCGAAATAAACACAGGGAAACCTAAATATCTACCTATTGATGCAGAATTATCTAGCGTACATCTAGAAAATGAAGAGATAGAAGCCTGCAATAACTACACCTATCTAGGAGTGATATTTGATACAACAGCTAAAGATGACAAAGAATTTAAAAAACAAGTTAAGAAGAGAATATCAAGAACATCACAAGCTAGAAGAACAATCGGTTGTCTGAATGGAGTATTTTGGAGTGATGAAATAGGGAAAAAACGGAAGATCAATATATACGAGACCCTGGTAAAGAGCAGTCTACTCTATGGTGCCGAGACTTGGCGAATAACGGAAGCCAACAGAAAAAAACTGGAAGCTGTAGAAATGGATGTCTATAGAAGAACCTTAGGAATTTCCCGAAGAGATAGAGTCCGAAACAAAGAAATCCGACAGACGATAGGAATAGAGGCATTTTGGCAACTGACAAATAGGGAATCTTTGGCAACCGACATCGAGGGCCAACAACTTATGTGGTACGTCCATGTCCAGAGGATGGATCACCCCCGACTTCCAAAACAAATTATACAATGGATCATCGAAAAAAACGTGGAAGACCTAAGAAGACTAGGAAGGAAGGTGTCACAAAAGCAATGTGTGCCAGAAATCTAACCGAGTGACAATGGAACAATCGGAAAACGTGGAAGTTAGGCATCGGACAAGGTATCTATACAAACATTTGAATGCTCTGTAGAGTTTTTTCGAGTTTGGCGTCGACAACACGTTAACTGAAAAGTAAATGTCAACAATCGAGAATGTGACTAGCGCAGGTTTGAGGTTAGGTTTGTCATTAAAGAAATGATTGGATAAATATCCAAATGGAATGAGGATAATTCGGACACTGATTGATTAATGATTTCTCTTTAAGGATATTTGATTATTTAGTTTGACTATACAGTATGTCCCCGGATTGTCTTTACAAAAGGGAAAACTTTTTTATTATTGATATTTTGCAAAAAATTCATTCTTCATAAAAATTTTTGCTTGTTCTCAATGGATTAATCCCGTTTATACTTTTCCAAATTTTCATACCGTTTTAGAGAAAATTAAACAAAAACGAAAATATAAAGTCCTAAAAAATAAAACGCGATTCTATGGTAATCTGGAGAATGGAGATTGTTATCATGCCCTAGACACTCAATGGTAATTTTATAGAACTACAAATTTAGTTTCTTCCGCATCGCCAGACGGCGCAAAAGACATTAAAGTACAGATTTCTGATTTATATATGAAGATGACATGACAGTCTCTATGTTAACTACTGTCTGTGGTCTAGATTTGTCTAGTTGACAAAATGTTGGTGATCCGTCAAGTTATTTTTAAATCATTATTTAAATAATTATTAATTCAAATATTCCTGATTTGTCGGAAAGTTCAGTGATTTCAGTGATTTGTGATTTTATTAGTTTGTGCATTCTGATATTTACAGTCGATCATCATTTTCGTGTTAGCTGCTAAACTTTTTTTTATTAAAGTCATTTTGACATTTTAGAAATGATAAATTTATGAACCAAATAAAAAAAAGAGTTTAATCATAAATAAGTAAGTACATAGTTGGTAATATATAGTATTTTTAGTAACAGTTAATTAGTAGTCTATAATATTTTACTATATTATAATTTAGTTGCTAAATCAAAACAAAAATAAGCGCTATGTGATCTATAGTTGGTGTTTAAAATGTACGTATTCATAATTTTAATTTTGTTTTAATTATGTTACACTTCAATGATCTAATAAAACATAAAATGGCTGTAAAAAAGTCTATATTTATTATTTTATATTTTACAAGGAACAATTTTGCGCTTGAATAACGTTACCGTTTTAATTAGCGTTAATAAGTAACGGAACGCTAAAATTATGTTATGCCAAAACTCTCCATTAGTTTCTTCCGGATCACCAGGTGGCTTTAAATGACGGACCCATTTGTTTTATATCAGTGTCCAATCTATCTCTAGTACGTGACATTAGTCTATGATTGTTATTGACAGGATTTTAAACAACGTCAATTTTTTGTTGTTTTAAAATGTTAAAGAAGGCTTTATTTTTTAAAATGTTAAAATAGCGTTATATTACCATAGAAACGCGTTTTGAGTTTCAGGACTTCAACCCTATTTTCATGATTTTTTTTTAATTTTCTCTAAACGGTATGGAAATTTGGAAAAGTATAAATGGGATCAACCATTTGGGAACAAGCAAAATTTTTATGAAGAATGAATTTTTCTCAAAATATCAATAATAAAATTTTTTTTTCTTTTGTAAAGACTATACGGGGACATACTGTACACCGGGTGCGTCTCAAAAGTGGCTCACCCCTATAACATCTTTATTTTTTCAGAAAAAGTAACGATATTTGGTATGTTAGTATATGACATAAATTAGGATTCATTGATATATTCAGTGGTTTTTGTTCATTCCCTGTTTTTACCGGAAATAAATACAGCTTTTGATTTTTAAATGGCACCTTCCGTATTTTTTTTACTTTACATATATGTCAACTTTTGACATTTTTGTTTAAAGAAAAATTGTATTTTAAATTCCAATATGATATGCTAATCGTATATCATATCTCATTTTTTTCCAATAGAATGGGGGTGGGTCATTAGCATATTTAGAAAAAGATTTGTTTTACGAAAAATTTGGTACCACACACTTGATATTTTGAGTCAAATTGTCGTTTGTTACAATTTCAAATAAACCATATGCGAAAATGTCAATAGTTGACATATCATATGTCATTGTATTCAGAGTGTCATTTTCTATCGAATAAAATAAAAAAATACCCAGGGGACCATTTAAAAATCAATAGTTGCAGTAATTTCCGGTGAAACAGGAAGTGTCCGAAAACAATTGAACACGTCAATCAATTCAGATTTATATCACATACTAACATACCAAATCTCGTTTTTTTATCTGATAAAGTAAAAATAAAGGTGAGCTGCTTTTGGGACGCACCCGGTATAGTTTTAAAGTCATTGTGCACTGCTGCGTGAAGTGAGGAGTAACATCGGATAAGATTTCTAACAATAAATAGGTAAATAAAATTATAAAAAAATTGAGGGGGCACCCGGGTTTGAACCGGGGACCTCTCGATCTGCAGTCGAATGCTCTACCACTGAGCTATACCCCCGCGTAAAGCGAAATTTTAAAATACACTATAGCAACTTATGTTTCAGTTGGCAACAAATCTAAATTTCATCATTGATATAATAATACATAGTCATCATTATAAACCTTTATTTTAAATAAGTAATAAGTAAACATGTTCGTTTAACTACGTAGTATATTTCATTTAAATTAAATATGCAAAGATATTGCATTTTATTTGAATAATGTAGTAAGAAATTTTGTGTTTAATTGTGTTATAGGTATACCTAAATTAAGTGCATAATTAAAAGTTTGATTGGTGTGCTTCTCTGAATACTGAATGTTTCAAAATAAATTTATTTTATAATATTATATTTTGTTTTATATATTTCTATTGATTTGCTTTGAAATGCTTTAATATTTTAATTCTTAGTTTATTTTAATATTCTCCAGCTTTGTCAAGTAATTAATAGATTTTTATTAATATTCATTTTTATTTTTTATTAACTTTGTTAATTATTTAGAACTAAAAAAAATTCAAAAAAATATCTGCCTACACCAATAATGAACTTAATATTACAAAATAATGAATATTACCTACTTAACTAAATGAAGTACTTTTAGCATGAGTACTACATATGTAGCAAGTATAGATCAAAAATATTAGTATGACAAACCTCATTTCATAAGAGATCTGAAAATCTGTGACCTGTGAAACTAAATTTATGTCTCAAGAAATTATGCTTCTAATAATATAAATATAATAAATTAAACTCTGTAATACTGTAATTACCTTCACAAATAAAATCCACTTTGACAGTTGTACTGAGGTTGGGTTCACACATCATACCGGGTATCGGACACAATCCGCAGTATTTGGGTCTGAACCGTTTCCTACTTCTACAAGGCCCGAATCTTAGAAACACAGCTTCGCTAAGACGGTGCGTTGCCTTACATTCATGTCCCTTCTGAAATATAAAGAACCTTTTAAAATATCTCTTAAGATTGACATAGATATAGATAAGGGTTTAATAATAATAGAATATTTTTTATTATTAAAAACTAAATAAAAAATTTGAAAACATGTGAACGCTGTATTAAAAGAAGAGTGATATGGTCAGGGAAGATTTTGGCAGTTGCCATTCAAAAAATGACATAAAATACAATTTACATGCTAGTTAAAAAAATAGACAGGAACAATTCAAGGAATTTAAAAATCATTTTATCATTTAGGTGTATCTTGTCTCTATTGTTTGTTTTTTGGTGCATCGCAATAGCTTTATTTTTTTGGAGATATTCGCTTTTGAAGAAGACATTAATTAAATTTTTCGTATTTTTTGTCCTAGTCAGCAGTCCTATAAAATCGTGTTTATGATTGATAAAATGTCAGTGTCATCGAAAAATAATATTAGTATTGTCTATTCGGCAGTTACTCTAGCAGATACGGTTTTTAAGTCCAAAAATTGATCTCTACCATGATCAATTAAAGCAGCAATAGCGATACTTCAGAACTTAAAACCCCCTCAAACAGAGTAAACGTCAATAAACAATAATAATAATATGACTTTTCAATTACAGTGACATTACAAAAACAATAAACACTATTTTATAAGTGTGTTGATGAGAACACAAAATCAATGCTAAAATTGGTGATCGAGAAAAGATGTAACTAGATGATAATATAATTTTTAAATTTCTTGCTCTGTTAACATATTCCACAGGGTGTTTCAAACTTTCACCAAAATATTATCATTTTTCCAAAAAATTCCTGTATGGGTATTTCGCCACTGCACTGCAAAAAACACAAAATACACTTATAGGCTAGTAAACGTAGCCGAGTTTTATATGTAAAGGTGGAAAAAATTAGTAACCAACCGATCTCAACGGGAATGTGTAGATAATGATATCCTATTTAACCCCTCAAAAGTCCCATTCGGTCCCAGTGGGGAAGTTTGAAAAAAACAGCCGCCATCTTGGATTTTTTCGTTTTTTTCAAATATCTCCGTTTGCATAACTTTTTTCGAAAAAACTAATGACATGTTTTTTGTAGAGAACTTTTATAATTTACAATATTTTACCTTCAATCAGTTTCTTTCTAAAATAAATAGTAATTGAGATAGAGCAATTTTTTACTATACGTTTTATAAATTTTCCAGTTTTTTTTAAACCAATCAGCTATAATTTTTGCGTTAACAGTATAGTGTTAATATAGATAAACCAAATATAAATTTAAGCATTAAAACAATTAAAAATAACGTTTAAATATTATTTATTAAGTAAAATTATTTAAAAAAAAATATTATTAAAGTTATTAAATAAAATCTGCATGGCGTCATTCTGAGCGTCATTTTCGTCCTCAACTAAAATACAAAAGTTTGTGCAACTGATTTCGTAGCACTGACCACACTTTGAAGAACATTTAAGACCCAGTTTTTTACAAGAATTTTTAGAGCATCGACTCTCTTTGCAATTGTAAAAAAAAATATTTTAGTTAGGTTAGGTTAGGCCACATCGTCTGCTGATCGAATAGGTGTTAGATTGCCTTTTTGATCTTTCTTCTATCCATATTGTAAAGGATCTAACTTATTACAATTCCCATTCTTAAATCTAAAAAATACAACTTATAATATTTCATATAATAGATATTATTACGGTGACCTGAAAGTATGTCCTGAGTAAATGGAGTTTTGCAGAGTTCTCAGTTGGAGGCAAATTAGCTAAATTAAAGGCAGTCTTAAGGGCCTGTCTTGATGTAATCCTATTGTATAGAGTATATCTAATAATATAATAATAGATCCCGTATTTAGCGTTTAACGCCTTGGGAGTAGTAAGGTACAGCTTGCCATGCTAGAGCCGTTCGGTATACAAGGAAGGTAATGTGGCTAGCACTACGCTGTAACCGCCTATTATTACCTCAGGATTATGAATCCCAAATACTAATTTAAGGTTGAGTCGACCTAGGTACCCAAACTATTTTTATTTTATTAAAAATAGTTGACTGATGAACTACCGGCTGTAGGATTCGAACCCACAACCTTTAAATTGGTAGACGAGAGCTCTACCTCTACACCACCGACCGGGTACCTACAGAGTGTATCTCAGATGGATAATATGTTTAATATAGCTTGGGCAGTGATATAGCTTTAAAAGATATTTTAATTAGTCAAGATTAAATTATCTTTTAAAGCTAAACACACTGCCCAAGCTATATTCAACATATTAACCATCTGAGATACACTCTATACAATAGGATTACATCAAGACAAGCCCTTAAAACTATCTTTAATTTAGCTAATTTGTCTCCAACTGAGAACTTTGCAAAACTACATTTACTCAGGACACAGTTACCTGAAAGTATGTCCTGACTCAGCCTATACTTTCAGGCAACTGTAAAGATATATCTATTATAGGAAATGTTGTTGTATTTTTTAGATTCAAGAATAGATTGGCAACAAGCTAACTTGTTACCTATCTAAATCCTCTATAATATGATCTAAATCCTTTACAATATTGTTACGTTTTTCGTCGGGTCCGTGTGGATAGAAAGTCACAATTTATTTAAACACAATTTATTTAACACTAATTAACAAAACAATAACGATTAAAAGACTTATTTATAACTTATTTACAATTTATCTAATTATTTATCTAACAGAAATTTATTTTGAATTAGCGCGGCGATTGTAACTGTACGCGTCGATCGGTTATTTACCTCTGTCCTCCTTAGGCCCCGGCGTCTGCTTATATAGGAGAGAAACAGACAATCCAGATTTGTCTAGTCAATTCTTATTCGTTCTAGAACGTCGGCATCGCTGGGCGTATGAGTCATAGGCGAGTGGCCAGGCCTAAGGCTGAGTTCACACGGCACGGGTCCGCAACAATATGGATGGCAGAAAGATCAAAAAGGCAATTTGACATCTAATCAATCAACAGAAGATGTGGCGCTTCCTAACTTTCTGAAATTATTTTTTTGTAATTGCAAAGAGAGTCAGTGCTCTAAAAATTGCTCTTGTAGAAAACTGTGTCTTAAATGTTTTTCAAAGTCTGGTCAGTGCTACGGAATCAGTTGCACAATCTTTTGTATTTTAGTTGAGGACGAAAATGACGCTCAGGATGACGTCATAGCAGATTTTATTTAAAACTTTAATTTAATAATAATTTTTTTAACAATAATTTTATTTAATAAATAATATTTAAACGTTATTTTTAATTGTTTTAATGCATAAATTTATACTTGTTTTATCTATATTAACGTTATAATCTTAAAGCAAAAATTATAGCTCATTGGTTTAAAAAACTGGAAAATTTATAAAACGTATAGTAAAAAAATGCTCTATCTCTGTTTCTATTTATTGTAGGGAAAAAATTATTGAAAGAAATATTCTAAATTTAATTCTCTACAAAAAACATATCTTCAGATTTCTCGAAAAAAGTTATGCAAACGGAGATATTTGAAAAAAACGAAAAAATCCAAGATGGCCGCGGTTTTTTTCAAACTTCACCCACTGAGACCGAATGGGACTTTTGAGGGGTTAAATAGGACATCATTATCTACACATTCCCGTTGAGATCGGTTGGTTACTAATTTTTTCCACCTCAACCTCCAGATTGACTGGCCTATTAGATCAATTTTATCACATACTAAACCAATCAATACAGAACAACAAACAAAAAATGTAATATACCAAATACCCTGTGAATGCGATAAATTTTACATTGGTGAAACATCTAGACCCTTAAATGTTAGAATTAAAGAACATAAAGATTATTTAAGAAGGGAGATTTTCACAAATCTAAGATTTGTCAGCATTCTTGGGACACAGGGCACAGAATAAATTTCAATAACGCCAAAATTATAATGAAAGAAGCGATAGCCTCTAAAAGAAAAAGAAAAGAGGCTTTTTTAATTCAATCTAATAAAAATAAATGTATTGCTCATGCATCTGTAGATGTTAGTAATGTTTGGCAATCGCTTCTTTGATTTTAAAGAACAATAGATACAACAAGATAAAGAAACATAACATACGTATAATTTAAAAATAATCATACAGAAAGTTTGGGGCTTTTTGGTTTTACCTAAGTAATTTTTATCAGGTAGTAATTGTTAATTTTGAAGTTTAAATATCAAGTTAAAAAAATGTCATTTTAACAGAACGTCAACGGTTTCTTGTAGACCAATCTGTTTTAAAAAAGTAAAATGTTCTCGAATAGTTGACTTTAAATATTTTAAATAGTTTTTTTCTTTATTCTTTGTATTTTTTTGCTTCTGACGACGGAAAGAGATAACTTTCCGAAACCTTAAGCATTTTTTTTGCTTTGTTAGGCAAATTTGAATTACCGTAAACATAACTTCTGACAAGCAGCGCCCGTTTAGGTTTAACGCAGAAGTGTTTACAAAAAAATAATTATTTTATTTTGTAGATTTTCTTGCTGTGCAGTGGCGAAATACCCATACAGGATTTTTTTGGAAAGATGAATCCGCCACATAGGTATAGACATTTTTTATTATCATTTTGTTTTCCCTCGCATAATTTGGCAGATGGAAACTTTCATTTTTAATTTAGAAAGAGATACTAAAAAGTCAAATAATGTAGCTACAAATCGCTTAAAAAAACTTATGAAAATCGGCCCGCTAAAAGATAATATACCGGGTGCGTCTCAAAAGTGGCTCACCCCCTATAACTTTTTTATTTTTTCAGAGACAAAAATGAGATTTGGTATGTTAGTATATGACATAAATTAGGATTGATTGACGTATTCAATTGTTTTTGGTCACTTCCTGTTTCACCGGAAATGACTCCAGTTTTTGATTTTCAAATGGCACCGTCGGTATTTTTTTACTTTATTCGATAGAAAATGACATTCTGAATAGAATGACATATCATATGTCAACTTTTGACATTCTCGCTTAATAAAAAATCGTATTTTAAAATTCAATCTAGGGTGCCATGGCTATGTTAAAAATACT